TCTTTAGTTAAATTCATTATTAATTTATATAGAAAATGAATGCCTATCATTTTGTGCATTCTAATAACAAAAAATATGATTAATTGGGCTCCAGTTTGACACAGAAACTCAAGGTCCCTTTTTCTCATAGAGAACCTTAAGACTTATACTCATAATTAGTTTATGAGCTCGCCTTTAGAACTCCTTAAACTATAAATAAAAATTCCATGTTTAAATTAAACAAAAAGTAGAATAAAATTTTATCCTACCTTAACGTCTTCTTGCCTATCCTATTGTTGGATTGGACATCTTAATTTAATTATCTAGGAGTTGAAAGAAGATTTAGAGCACATATCTCAAGCCCTAGGATTTTCAAATTTTCTCTAAAAACACGAACTTAGAAAAAGGACTCAAATGAAAAAAATTTTAAAATTTAGGTCAAGAGTTGTAAAATTTTCCAACTACAACTCAACCTACGTGGAGACTCGCATGGAAAGCAATTCCATAGATGTATATGCCTCCTCTCCTACCTTCCTTTTATAACCATCTCATGCCTCACTACTCTCATTCCTCCATCCAACAAGAGACATATTTTCAACTAACTAGACTTCCTTTTTACATGATGTGAGACTTTATTCTCAATCTACTTAGATTTTTAAGTTTCTCTATATGTTATTTACTCATTTCTTTACTTATTTTTCTTTGTAAGGTCTTACAAACCTATTTTTGAGAGAATAAAATTCTAAAATTACCCTTGGTTCTTAAAATGACACTTTCTTAACTGCTTAATCCTGTAAAATTTTTATTTTCTAAAATCACTCAAGATTTGAGACTTGAGTAGAGAAACCAAACACATTGCAGTATTCAAGGAATGTGCCCAAATCTATGGTCACATTTTTTAGGATTTTGACACTATCTAATCTATTTTTTAGATATTAATAATGAAGGACCTTACTATACTATCTTAATGCTTGTAAGGACCTTTCTAAACCTTATTGTTACTAAATAACTTTTGGCATATTTTTAATTTCTCGCAATTTAAATCCTTATTCCTATTTTCTCATCCTTTAGAACTTAGAACTCATTAATTAATTATGTATATCTCAATTAACTCTCTTAATTCTTAAAATTAATGGTAATTAATGACCATTACTTAGGGACTGAAAATCTAGGATGTTATATTTAAGCACTTAAATTATTATCTAAATTGAGCCTAGGATCATTATGAGGTTTAACTAAGCTCCAATATAGATATTGGGATAGATTGGGCCCAAATTATTAGGCTTAAGAGAGTAGTCTATTTTTGTGTCATGTGTCATGATACATGCCACAAAATTAGCTTAGGTGTTGCTATTTGAAAATAGAAACGCAGAGGAGAGCTCAAGAGGGTATTGGTGTAAATTTTGTGTGCTCTATTAGGATTTTTGGTTAGAGCATCCTTTGGGCACGTTTTAGGGCATTAAATCTCTAAGTTGAGCCTATTAATCTTCTCCTACCCTCTCTTCTTCATATCTAGGCGTTTTTGTTAGGTTTTTGGCTAGTGTTTTGTATTTGGTGTAACTCTAGTCATGAGGTTTGAATTTTAAGAGTCATATGAGGTTAAAAAAGTATTAGTTAGGTTGTTTTAATGATGATTACCATAGTGGGTGTGCTTATCCAAACGCTAGAAGCAATGATAAACTATGGTTTAGAGGGTTCATAATATGGTGATTAGTAAAGCTTAAGGCTTAAATCTATAGAAAGTGTTTAGGTTAATGAGATTAATTAACCTAACCCTAGGATTAGAGTGTAATTAGTGTTTAAACACTTGTATTAATGATGATTATTATTATCTCATTTGTAGATTATGGTGTTAATATTGTTGGAAGTGATAGATCACTTGTCTATGAAATTTTACTTACAAGGAGTAAAAGTAATCTTTACTATTGTGTTGTGGTATTTGCTTTGTGATTGATTATATGTGTGTTTGAAAATAATGTTGCTTGAAATATTACATTTAGAAATGCATGTTATTTGTTTGGAAATTTGTATTGCCAAGTGAGATAAAATTGTATATCATTATGTTAGTATGAAAATATTTGTTTAATAACATGATTCCACTTGTTCAAATTATCATTGTTCGAAAATTTGTCTGCATGACTTGTCGAGTTTGGAACTAATATTTGGGGATTTATTGTTTGGACTTTAGTTGGGTGCCACGTGACATGACCTCATTTGATCAATGAGTGGCTTATAGCTTAGCTAGCTTAATTACTTTTGGTTAGGTAAGTTAGGTGCTGAGCACGGACTTTGGTTTTCAAGAAAGGAGGAGATAATGTATTAGTCATGCATTTTTGTTCGGTTTGTTTGGAAACATGTTTTGTATGCCCACTTAACAATTGTATGATTAGTTACATTACATGCATTATGATATGTTAGTATTAATTATTAAGACCTTTATATCTCATTCCTTGTAGTTAAGAATTGTTTAGGGAAAGGTCCAACGGGAGAAGGATTGAAGGCATAATGTTGGTGTATGGGTCACCAAATTTTTGTTAAGCCTCGTCTTTGGTTTGGTTTATATATGTTTGCCAACCTAGGACATTATTATTGCAATCAGCATTTGTGTCCCTTACATTTTGGCATACTTGTCTATTGTAGCCATGAGCACGATTTTTTACTCTCATTGTCTTAATTTGTAATGATTTAAGCATGTTTTAAGTTTAAAGTTGTTTTATGGCAAGTTTTACTACTTATCTAATTATATTTGTATTGGATGATTGTAATCCAACTATGGTGATTTTTGGCCAATGTGCAGTTTAAAATTGTTGTTTTATGTATATGTAACATGGTTAAATTGTTTACATATTGATTTTTGCCTATAGCATTGGTTTGGTGAAGTTAATTGTTTGAAAAAACTTGTTTTACAACCCTTTGGGTTTTTGAGGATAAAATTCTTATATGAAAGAATTTTTGTCCAAACCAAAGTCATTAACTAGATTTTGTGATCAGCTTTATGTGAACACTTAAATCATCTAGTTTGGATTCTATAGTGAAAGTTATGCATGATTAATTTTATAAATTACTATTTATTCTATCATAAGTGCTGATTTGTACACTTCTGTTGCAACATGCGGTTGTTTAACCGCAAAACACAACTTAGTGAACTATTAGCCATAGCTAACAACACTTTGCTGCAACTTGCTTTGCTATGATGTCTGCCGCGATACACGAAGTATTGGTTGCGGTGGATAGCATAAATTTTTCTAAAAATGCCCCTTTGATTTCTTATGTTTCTCAAGATGTCCTTTTTTGCACTTTCACCCATATATAAGCTTGCTTTTGGATAATTTTTGTTTTTGGATATTTTAGCTATGGAAAACCATGCTTCACTATTATTTATGATTTATATAATTAATTTGAATTTTAAACACTTTTTTTGAATGAGATCCATTTAGTATACTTTGAATTAATTTACTTTATTCCTAAATTCCTATGTTACATCTATTTCATTATATTTAATTCTTTGTATCATAGTAGCTTATTTTATACTATGGTAGTTGATTTTGAAAATGGGTTTATTATTATGATAAATCTTTATCTTTCATGTTAAGCCTTTATAAATTAATTTTGACTTTCAATTACTATGATAGAATTTTTTATACTATGGTTCGTTTTAAAGTACTATCTTTTGTCCTTTATATTACGGTAAACATTTCATTACTATGGTAGGGTTTGTAAAATAATGTATGTTGTTCTTTCTATCATGATAGACATTTTTCTACTATAATAAATATTTTAAAAGTTGAGTTTTGAGTTAATTACTCACTTATTAAAGAAAATTGATTAAAAATTTTAGAGTGTGATAATTCGCAATCGGTGCTTATCAATCGTTAGGGTGATCTTGGCCCTTTATTTCTCTTCAAAGTGATCTCTGTCGTTAATTTTAAATTAATTTCTAAATATTATATTTGTAAAAATAAAAATTATAAAAAATTTAATTTAAATCTATACTGTCTTTGTGTTCATTAGAGGATGAGCACTAAGATGCTCATTACTCTTGACAGGATCTTCATATCTAGATTTATATTTATCAAAATAACGAAATTATAAAAATCAAATTTTTTATAAATTTGTTCATCATCAATCTTGCAAGTACATATTTAATCTGTATGATTCAGTTTAATATTAATTTTTTTATATTTTTTTATAAATTAACTATCCAAATGTACTCTTTGTACATTAAATATAATCTAGACAATTCAATTTAATATTACATTTTTTTGTAATTTTTACAATGGATTGTCTAGAATAAAAATTTTTTACAAATAAAATATTTAAAATATTTTTTTGGTTAAAATATTTAAATTATTTAAAAGTAATTCAAAATTAATGCTTGAGATGATTTTGAGAAGAAATGGAGGGCAAGTATCACTCGAGTGTCAATCCCTGCGAGCACTGATCAGGACCATTTGCAACTGGACTTGGCTTTGCTCCACTACAGTCTTGCTCCTCAGCAGCCCCACCGCATTAGGGAGAAGATATGAACCTTTCAAATTAATTTATAAAAATTACAAAAAAAATTAATAAATAGCTCATATTTAATATTTTATTTTTATTTATCAAAATAAATACATTTATAAAAATTATAAGAGATTTAAGGAATATGATTATCAATATAGACAGTCTATTTAGTATGTTCATATTACCAAAATAAAAATTTATAAAAAATTTAATAAATTTACTTATCATTAATTTAAACAATATAAATTTAATTTAAATAATTTAATTTAATATTAAAATTTTTATAAATTAATTATTCAAATATATTTTAGACATTTAATATTAATTTTTTTTAAATTTTTATAAATATATTTATTTTAATAAACAAAAAAATAAAATAAAAATAGAAAAATAAATCTGGACCGTCAGGTTAATCTGGACGGTCCAGATTCTCCCCCAAGTGCAGTGGTGCTGCGGAGGGGCAATACCGGCCTTGGTTTCTGACGCTTTTCATGGCCTTTGAAGGTAAGAGCGAAGAGGAAGCGATAGAAACATGAGATGAAGGAAATGGATAGGCAAATACAGGTCTTTCTGAGGAAGTTGTCATGGGCTTGCATCACCGTTGCTTCCTTCACCCTTCTTCTTCTCTTCCTCCAAACCCCTGAAACCTGTGTTCCTCCAGACACACCCTCCAAACCTCACCTCGGGTTCCCCAAATCTTCCTGCGATTTCTCCCCTCGTGTGTACGTTCCCATCGACAAGAAGAACAAACGCCTCTGGTCCTCTGGAGAATGGCTCAAGAAGGTCAATTCCTACGTTAAATTCTTTAAATCCCTTCAAGACGTGGGTCTTCTCCAGAAGAATTCCAGAGCCCTCTGTGTTTCCGCAGGAGCCGGACACGAGGTCATGGCTCTCGCCAATTTGGGCGTGCTCGACGTTACCGGAGTCGAGTTGATCGAATCACCGCCACTGGTGAGTCGGGCTGATCCGCATAACTTGCCCTTCTTTAACAATTCATTTGATTTCGCTTTCAGTGCCCATTTTGCCGAGGCATTGTTTCCGTCACGATTCGCGTCGGAGATGGAAAGGACGGTTGAGGCCGGGGGAGTATGTGTGCTCGTTGTTGAGGAATGTGGGGATGATGAGGTGAAGGAGATTGTGGGCTTGTTTAGGAATTCTAGATTGACTAGCTCAAATAATGTTACTCTGATTGGATTGAAATGGACAAGTGTTATCATGAAAAAAAGAAATTCTTAATGATCATTGGTTAAATTTTTTATTTGTAAGTTCTGTAGATTTCTCTGTTGGCTATACATCTGTAAATTCGAAGATGCTTCAAACTGAATGAAGCGCTCCTACATTAGCTATTACTGCTGTTTCCAGCAGTTAATATGCACCAGATTCATGTAAACTTCACATTTCAAAGTTGTGCTGAAAGAGATTGTATATTGTTTGTAATATGGAAAAGGTTGTCTTAGATCAGACAAAAAAGCTGCAGCATGCCTCAGATTTCATTGCTGTAAGTGTCCATTAATTTTATTGGAGTTGTTTATTTATGTATTTATTTTGATGTTTTTGTTAGTTTATACTTAGGAACATTCATATGCAGTGTTTTGTTTGAACATGTGACTGCACATCCTACCTGTGCTCGTGAAGGGGGATGAAGGGCCGTTGATATGAATGCTACTGTCATAAAATTTAATTTACATTACCCTGGTGATTGAAATACATTTTATCTTTGTGTCAATTGTATTGAAATGCTGCTGGCAGTTACTTCGAGAATATGCTTATCTGTATAACTACTCATGGAATATGAGGTATGAGGTTTAAGAGTTTGGGATAGATTGGACTAATATTCATAAAGTACTGGATACAACATTTGTTGTTAATGATCAGTGTATGCTGTTATTTAATTCACATGACATATTGACATCATCATTGCCCATGGATGGTCTGAAAATGTTTATTCTGCCTTCTATACTTGTGAACTTGCGGGCATACGATGCAGCTTTGTCTTCCCATGGAAATCATGTAATGTTTGTAATATTTATAATATTTATAATTATGAATGGTTTATCTTTTAACTTCCTTTCAACTGCTTTATATGCAGGATGCTAAGAAGCATTTAACTCAGCATTCAAAATTTGGATGATGAAATGCTGAAGCAGAATGAGTTGGCACGTTCAATCAAGGATGATATATGCCCTTTGACACAATGTCACATATAGATGTTCGTGATTGTAAATACATTTAGATAGCTATGTTGAGTTGGAAGCAGGTAAAATGTTCTCTTGTACTTATTGTATGGGTTTTTCATCTATAAAGAATCCTCTTTTAATGCCTATTCCCTTTTTAATGAATCTCTGCTGTTAAAAATTGGTTGAAGATTAACAATAATAGTACAAAATTATTTTTATGTTTAAAAGTAATTATTATGCTTATTGAGCTTTATACATTTCGATGAGGAGTACGAATATTAAAAGGGCTTCTTGTAATAGAGTTATTGATATGTATGACATTATTGTTGGCTAATTACTGATACGTGTGACTAATCTTCGTACTTAGGTTATTACTTCTACATTGTATCACCTAAAGTTTCCCACCTAGTGGGAAAAGGCTTGTTGTTCTAGTATCACCTAAAGGAAATGCTGATACAATAGTGTAACTGCAGGATTATGCAAATTATGGTTTGGTGTACCTCATTAATGGAAAATCTGGTAAAGGTCCTGAATTTTTGCAGGTAATTGCAATTTTTACTTCATTTTTTATTTTGTTTTTGTTGTTTGTCTCCCCTTCCTTACCCTTTGGTTGCTAGATATGCAAACTTTGTTATGACATTTTTCACTGCCCTTCTGTTGATAGAAATGTGCTATCATTCACCCCCTGTTAGGGATGTTTAAGTGACATTGAGAATTGCTCATAATGCTAGTTGTTTAGCTGTCAATTTATTTCTTTTTTTTTCCTTTATAGATTATCATCTAAACATAATATGGTAAATATATGGCAGGGGCAGCCTAGAGTCATTCATTTTTTAGCTCAATATATCTGGAGGGAATAGAATGGGCAGAGGGGCCTAGAGTCTGTTAAGACAGCCAAAACAGTTGTTGATCCAATTCAGCTACTTGGTAGGCTCGGGCAATAATCCTTTTAGGAGCTCAAACCCATTTGAATTGGACGAGGAACCTAAAAACTATCAAGTCCTAGCCCATAAAATAAGATCAACCCTACTTTCTTTATATAATGTGTGCAAATTGTACCATCAAAAGCAAAATAACTCTATAGAAGAGTAACTGAAACACATTTGAAAGATAAGATAGAGGTGTTCCACACTACACAACCGCATGGTCAGTAACCTGACCCTTTACCCCTTTAAATTTCTCCTGCATCTCCTGAAAGAGCACTAATGTTCCATGATCAAGCTGTACTTGTATGTTGAAATTTGGTTGTTTCAAAGGCTTCAACACCATTATGGTTAGTTAGTGCTAAAAGGAACTACTCTTTTTCATAAGTCATTGCTATTGTCATGGCTTTTCTGGGCATTTTTATTGAGAGTCCTAAGAGAATTGTGTCACTGGTCTGATTCATAAGGCAGACCTTATGATGTCATAATGCATGTAACCTTTAGTCTATGCCTTGATTGATCAATTTTTGCTTATCTGCTGAACGTTATCTTGTATAGATTGACCTTCTTCTCTGATTTTTTGCAGGGCTGGGTCAACCAGGTACTGATGTATGGTTCTCGACACAATAGTATAGCATAGCTTTCAAAAGGCATTTCTTTCATTGTCTTCCTATATTCCTATTATATGTGACAGTAATTTGGCAGCTCGGTTGTTGGTGAGAAAATTGAGATCGGTTGTGATCTCTTGTGCTCACTCTTGAAACTACAGTTAGGATTAATATATAAACAATTTTTTTTAACCAGAATATATGTAGGCTACATAGAGTTCATGCATATGCAAGTCCCTGAATTGTGATTCCACGAGTTTGTATATACTTTCCAAAAAAAAAAAAATGATTTTTGCTGTTGATGATATTTATCTGGTGATGCCAAGAGGGAAGAGCTGATGCCAATCTCTTTTTAGATGTAGCCCGTCCTCATGTTAATTGGAAATATAAATTGAGCGGAAAATAGTGCTTATTGTCTTTGGGGTTTCAGTTAGTGATGTAATTATTTTAATAGGATTTCAAACTTTTGTTCATTATTATTACCTCAGTACGGCCAAGTGTTAGCTTGGTTTTTCAATTAGACACATTTTTCGTATAAATAGTTTCATTTTTTCCAATTTATTAATACGAATTTCACTTAAAGGAAAATAAATTAATAAGAAGTGTCAAAATTCTCTATTCTGGTTTTGTTATAGAGATCTAAAATGTGTACGTGCTCCCTTCAGTCTCAATTATTAGCATGATCTATCAAATCTTCTTTGTTTTTATTATAAGAAAAAGCTACCCAATTTTAAGTGTATTTAATTCATCTTTTTAATTGTGCTCCTCACTCTAATTGAATATTTTAGCTGAGGAAAAAGAATTAAATTCAATTTCAAACATAATTAAGAAGAATATCTAAACTTATTAAGAATTATGGGACATATTTTTCTTATAATGGGGACAGGAGGGAGTATGTTTAAGTATTAATGAAGTCTTATTTAGTTTGCCAAAATAAAAAACCTTGATCAAAATTCAATGTTTGAAATCATTCGAGTTTCTTCAGCTAAGGTTTCTTCAAGAGATTTCTTGGGAGCCGTAGCTGGATTTTGAAGTGCTAAGGATTATAACATATCAATGTTCCTCTGTTTCAGCACATAGGCGTTCAGCATGGGAGGTGAATTTGAAAGAAGCAATAGTTTATTTGAGTTGTAACTAAAGTATTTTACGTTAGTAGGGCAAATTAGTAATTTTAAAGTTATTACTATATAAATTTTCGGCTAAAATGTATAAAATCTTTCTAAACTTTAAAGCAGTTTTATATATAACTTCTTTTATTTTAAAAGTTTAAAATTAACCTTTATAATCTTTAATTTTATCTTTCAAAACCTCTTATTATTAATTATATTATTTTTTTATAAAGGTTAAAATACTATTCAACTAAAAAATATTATTGAACAAAAATAATATATTGTATAATTATTTATAATAAATTTTTTATATTTTTTAAATTGTTGAGGCATTGATAATAAAAACAAGTTATTATTACTGTATAAAATTTCAAATATTTATGTTTATATTAATTTTATTCATGTTTTTTTGTTATCAATGGTGTATGATTTTATTGTTTTAAAAGATAAATTTTTATTTATATTTTTATGTTAGATTAAATTTATCTTTTAATACTAAAAAACTATGCACCATTGATAACAAAAAAAAAAAGTATATAACCAACACAAAAGTAAGTATTTAAAATTTTATATGGTAATAATAACATTTGTTTTGATTATTATTAACGACTCAATTATTCAAAAAATATAAAAAATTAATTAGCCATAATTATACAATATAATATCTTATTTAATAATATTTTTTGGTTGAATGAAATTCAACCTCCATGAAAAAATAACATAATTAATAATAGAAGGTTTTGAAAAATAAAATTAAAAATTAGGAATTAATTTTAAATTTTTAAAGATGATGGGTGCTATAAACAACATTTTTAAAATTTAGGGGTTTTTTATTTATTTGTCTAAATTTTAATCAAGAAAAATATATCATCGGAAGGTTTTATCAACGTATTTGGATCAAAACTCTATAATCAAAACTCTATAATAATTTTAGTTTTTGGGCCAACACTTCTAATTTTTTCTTAAATTTTCATCTGAACTGTGGAAAATCTGATTCTTTATATAATTTTTTCTAACCATATTTGCAATTCAACCATTGCTATCAATACAACACATATTAGTTGAGAGTTGAGATAGGGCTTGAGAGCCTTCAAATCAAGTTGTTTAATTTAATTTGCTAAAAATGTTGAATCAATTTATTTTCAAATCTCGAGTTTATATATTAAAATATATAATTATATTAAATAAATATATATTAATAGTATTTCAGAGATACCCAAATCCAGGCGGGGGTGGCAGTTTCATACATGGGCGAAAGATTCATAAGAGAATTTGAGAACCTCAATGACAATGTTATTGTTAGCCCTCCATTTATTTCTTATTATGAAATTTGAAGATCTACGTATGGACAACTGAGCATTTATTCAGCTTCTACAATCATGCAAAGCCCAAAAATCAGAGAAGTCAGATTCTTTCAAAGCACTCATTCCATAGAGTTCTGCCAGTTCTCTGATACAGTACTGGCAACGCCTTCTCTTCCGGTGACTGTAAATTTGGTATTCTATTGCCATTGGAAGAGCATAAGTAAGAAAACCGATCATTTCCTACTTGTGGGTTTTCCGTTCCATCTTCTTTTTCTTCTTCACCTTTAGTCTGATTCATATTTTTCTGCATTAGATCTCTAAACACTGAGGATTTCAGCAGAAGCCCTAATGCTGTTGGAGAAGATGATGACTTGGCACCATTACTATGACTTAAAGGGGTCAAATACTGAGGTATGTCTTGCTCCACTGAATTATGATTGAAATTGGATGCCTAGTGTAGAAACAATTGAGAACTTTCAGAGAACTTTTTGGGCAGAGTTCGACAAACAGATTCATAATCAATCAATGATTCAAAATATAGGGAAAATTGCTCTTACGATCCATACAAAGAATCTAAATATAGAAAAGTCTTGTGAAATCACAAAATTACTCTGAAATCTCATGTTCTTTACTGAAGTTGTCAATTATTGCTGGATAGTTATTAATTATTACTGCTTAGCTTTCAACTGAACAGCACTGCTGATAATTTTCTAGTAATAATTGATAACTTCAATAAACAACATAAGACTCTAGAGTAATTTTGTGATTTTATGGGATTTTTATGTATTTAGATTACTTGTGTGAGACCTAAAAATGATTTTCTCAATATATAACATCAATTAACAATTGTGAACTTTTAGACAACTCTTGCGACAGATTTCAACATGCGCATTCATAGTTACTGTAAATAATATATAAAATAATTAGAATGTTTCACCCTTGATACCTCAATGATTTCTCTGGTTTGGCTGAGGTTAGGGTTTGTCATGAGATGGTGAATTTGTGGGTTTTGCTTTTGTTCTTGAGAAGCAGTATTAAGGGCTTCTGGTCTTAGCCATCTAATATAAGTGCTCAAGTCAAAGTTTGTTACTGCATTCAAGCCTCTGTACTCTATAGCTGCTATATCATATGCTCTAGCAGCCTCTTCTTGTGTACCTGCAAGATTACCATTCTTGAGACACTCTCTATATAATCATCATCTCGCACCTTCAAGCTTGGTTTGGATGGAGAGAAAAGTGAGAGGAAAATAGGGAGAAGAGAAAACTAGGAGGAGAAATTGCTGAAAATAGTAATTTTGTTAAAACTATTTTTAGAAGTTTTCTTTCATAGTTTTCCTTCCTCTCTATTTTTCTCTCCATCGAAACAGTGGTCAATGTAATGAGATTTTGACTTTATAAATCTAGATTAATGATAAAGAGGCTGAAACTCACTGTAAGTGCCAAGGTAGAGGTACTTGTTACCAAAAACCCTCCCAATTCTTGCTTCCCATCTTCCATTGTGATGGTGCCTGCACTCAAATTTCAGAATTTATGACTTCACCATTAAATATTTACTTGCTAGAAGCTAAATATATAACTTGATTGAAATAGGGTTGACCTTGCTACTCCTCTGTACTTTGATACTCCTCTAGAAAATCCACTGCTTCTCCTGCAAAATGTAAAATGAATCTCATGCATGCATGCATACATACATATATAGTATCAAGGGAATTAGTTCTAGAAAAAATGGGATTTACCTTCTCAAAGAAGCAAGATATTCTTCTTTTGTCATAGTTTTCATTATCTCAATCTCTTTCTCGTAATTAGATACCTACAAAAGTGCCACACTAATTCTAAATAAGCTAATGAGGCATCATTGGAATAACCAATTGTTATTATGAAAATATTTAGATGGTCTCAGTCTGCTAAAAACAAGTAGACTGAATTACTCATGATGAAACAAATATGTATGTCAAGCACCCTTTTACCTTCCGTTAGGAATGAGAGAAAAACAAGGAGGAGAGAAAACCTGGGGATAAATGTAAAAGACAAAAATATTCTCCCTCCCAAGTTGTCCCTTTAGTTTTCACTTCTCTAAGGAGAAATTAGGAAAAAGAAAACGGGGGTGAAAAACGTCTTTTTCCTCTAGTTTTCTCTCCTTTCTATTTTCTTCCCATTCCAAACAAAGTCTTAATATCTCAGTTTACACATACTTGTATGATTAGTTATTATATGTGGAGTCTGCAAAACTTTTGTTAATTGAATATACTGAAGTTCCTCAAGATCAAATAGTTTACTGATGACAGCCATACAGGGAAGTTTATGAATGTAGAAGTTCCCCAGTACTTGAGTGCAGCCAAATCATATGCTCTAGCCGCAGCTTCTTCATCAGCATAAGCTCCTGTTCAGTAAGTCAATCTCAAAAAGTTCAGTTTTCAACATCATGAAAAGAAACTGTGGGAACAAAACAGTTCAAGTGCTTACCCAAATATACTGATCCATACCACCCAACAAATCCAAAGTTTCCATACAAAAGCACAAATAAATGAACAAGGTGTGAGAAATTAAATCAAGATAAGCATAAAGAAGAACATGACAAGTTAATAAGATATGAAGCAGATGAACGGTTAAAAACATCATTTATATGCATACCTTGCTTCCCTTTCTTCTTCTGAGTTGGATTCCAAGTCCCTTTGTCCCATAAATGAGCTTCATACCTCCCTGTCCATCTGTGTCTGCTTTTCAGAAAGATATGATTAGCTTCAAATCATTAACCAAGTATGCATCTATGTTAAGAAACAGTAGATTACATTTGAAGTTCTAAAGTTTTAGTATATCACTCCTGCGGTTCCTATTATAAGGTACCTCTAACTATTTCATTGGAATCAGTCATGAGTTATTTTTTGTGAAAATAGAATAAACTTTCAATTCTTTCCCTATTTAATTGAAAATTTTCAAATTTATACTACATTTTCTCTTATAATGAATGAGTTTAAATAGGGATAATATTAGAAAAATGTAATTAATACCCATCAAATGCCTTATATTAAGGATCAAAGGATCCTTCTAATAGGCACCCGATAATAGGGACCAAAGGGAATATATAATAACTAGTTCATAGAAGAGACCTGCTAACTCCACGAAACCTCGAACTTCTCTTGACAGTAGTAGTGGTAGCAGTTGATTGACCACCCCGTGGTTGCTCTTGCTTCTCATTACCCTGTAGAAGCACAACTGATGAGTCTCTTCGCCGCCTTTTCATGCACTTTATGTCAATATTCCCGCCTTGCATCATGAACAACCTATGGCTTCTTGGGCAGAATTCAGTTTTTACAGTTGAAAGCTCCATTTTGCTTTAACTGTATATGGACAAGAAAGGCCAAAAGACACAAGAAGTTATGGTTTACTTGGAATGAGATATATACTCATGTTGTTAGGATTAGTTCTTTATATATGCATTGAACATCTTGTTCTCATCCTTAATTTGCACCTTGTGTTGTAATATCTGGTTTTGTCAGAAGAAAAACAAGAATGTCGATGAAAACCATTAGAATGAGACACAGTTTTTGGTTGTCCATACCCCCTAAAACCTAGTATGAGAATTGGGATATAAACAAAATTATTTGGTCCAATGTAACAGAATGTTCAATCCAAAATCGTCTCAGACCATGTCTCTGATAAAACCAAAGTAAGAATATTGTCATATGTTAGTTAATCAAACAAAGACCATGCTTTGGTTTATAACGGAAGGTAACTAACAGAACAAGAGTGCTACTTCCTCCCGTCTTATCACCTTCTAAAATAATTCTTTATTTTTTTAATATAAGACACTTGATGAGGTATGAATTACATTTTTTTAATATTATCTATATTTATACTTATTAATTATGAGAAAGAAAGTAATGTAAATTTGAAAATTTTTCATTTAAATAGGGTAAAATTGAAAGTTTATTTTATTTTCAAACAAAGTTAATAACTTGACTGTTTCATATTGATTCTGGTAAGATAATTAGAAGTGCGTTATAATAAGAGTAGGATGGAGTATTCATTTTTATTATTAAATTTCTTGGAAGTGGTGATTTTCAACATAAAACAGCCATAATTTGCATTATATATAAATTTGGTCCTGTACATGTTTTTCGTCTGGAAATGACTTAGTCTCTACAAATAATGCATGCAAGTTTCTGTTGACTAATGACTCTTAATCCTTGCTGCATGATATTATAATTAAGTGTTATTTTATTCATTTATTGTGACTAATTCAAGCATATCCAATGTTTTGGGTCTAGTGTTGCGCTAAACTTATGTGATAATTAAAGGGACATCTTTTTAATTATCAAATTAGTGGCACATTGTCATTTTTTTGTTAAAAACGCAATTTCAGTATTATTTACCTATTGTTATTAAAAAAAAGTATTATTTACCTATAAAAATTTGCAAAAGATTCAAAAGAAAAAAGTAGAATATAAAAGTCATAAAAGCGATTGCTTTAATTCCATTTTTAAATAACAATCATCTGTTATATAACATTGATTAATTCAAACTCAAATGTTGTTAGACTCATGTAAAAGACCAAATCATATTTTTAGTCTATCGAGTAATTATCAAATCATCATTATTGGCAACGATATTGGTAAATATCTAAGAAAATATTATTTTTATTTTAATAATATTGTATCAAAATATCAATAGTTTAATATATAATAATTTAAATATTATTATTATTTTCAAAAATTCACATGCAATTTATAAGTTAACTATTGAGATTTACGTAGTTTTCAAAAATTATTACTTAACTAGTGTATTTAAGATTTAGAAGTAAATGCATTTTTTACACTGAAGGTAAATTTTTGATTTAGAACTAATAAATTTTGGATGAAAATTTATAATTTTTCACGCTATTTTAAATTACAACTTAGATAATGTGAAAATTACATTCATCTATAAATCTCATATGCTCTAGTTGAGCTTTTAATTTTTCAAACAATAATTATAAATTCAGGAAGGATATTTATAAATAATAATATTTAAAATTATGAAATATTAATAAGTTAATATGTTAATAAAATATTATTAAAACAAATATTTTTAATTATTTATCGGTGTTGTCAATAATAGTGATTCGATGATCACCTGATAGCTCGTCAAAGTGGTTAACAAAAATGGTATATAAGTCTTTTACATGAGAAATAAGTAACATTTGTCTTTTAATATTTATTTATAATTTAAGAAATTCAGTTGGTATTAATTTTCTTATAAACCTTATTATATTGGTCCTTTTATTGTAATTTTTAAAGTCTTCTTTTATAATTTTTTAGTTAACTAATAATTAAAGTTAATTTTTAAAGGACATTAAACATATGTGATAATTTAAGGGACATCTTTTTCAATTGTTAAGCTAACAGTTGCACTGTGAAAATGATTAAGCTAACATTGCACTGTTTTCAATTGTTTAAAGGGAAACATTGTATTTAAAAAAAAAAATCAGGGTCTCAAATATTCCTTAACTTATAGTTTAAGGATAAAATTAGTTTTAAACCCATAATTAATTTGTGTAAACACTTGAAGCTATAAAATTGACATGGTTTTATATTTTTTTTTGTTGGTGAACACGTGAAAAGAAAAAAATTAAATCAAGATTATTACAAGCTCAATTTGTGTGAGCGATAGGAGCTCTTGTTATTTAAACAAGTTATTATGGTTTCAATTTTAAAACTTTGTGTGTAGCAACTTAGTTGATAGTAGTTTACTCATTATCCTTAATATCTCAAGATAAATAATCTGTTATTGATGAGGTCAACTTCTTGTACTCAAGAAAAACTTTTAAAATTAGTGGACCCAAGAGAATTAGAGGGAGGGAAGAAAAGAGACCAGATTGCGTTACTATATCATAAGAGGAGAATCTAATGACGGAGAATCTCAAGGTAGATAGATTAGAAAATTTGGAAAGCAAGACAAAAAAGGTTTGGCCGTTTGCCTTATACCGAGAGATAAATTGAAACTTTTATGGAGCTTCTTTAGTACTTTGTAATAACCAGGCGATAATATTGCCATGCTTTTTTAATTACTCCTTCCATTTAAAAATATAAAATATTTTTAATTAAATATCATCTTTTAATAAAATATTTAATTTTCTTTAAAATAATCTTATATTTTTATATTTATTTTTATTTAATAAGATATTTTATCCTAAAATAAATATAAATTAATTCATTTTATAAGGGTATTTTTAAAAAAAAATAATGATTATATCTTGAAAAACTTAAAATATTTTATATTTTTAAACATTTAACACGTCAAAAAATATTTTATATTTTTAAATAGAGGGAGTATATGTTAAAAGAAATGTTCTCATTTATGAAATTACTTTTTGGCCAAAAAAAAATTATGAAGTTGCTTAAAGTAAACGCCTTGCAAATTTCGTCCCAAAAAAGTACTTGTTTGTTTTATTTTGCCAATTTGTTTACTGTTCCAGCTTCAACATCTTTGCATTAAGTAGGAAAAAAAAAATGAATTTACTTACTTAAAGAATATTTAAAGAGATATTTATAAAGTATTCAATAATAAAATTCTCATATTGGTGGCGAGATTTGAACCAATTATTTTGTGGGTTATGTGATGTTATTCTCTAATTAATGAAACAATCTCTTGACTAATTCATTATCCTCTATTTAATGAACTTTATTGAGGGTAGTTATAAAAATTTAAAAGCATTAAAAAAATTAACTAAATATTTTTTTTTGTTTTAATTTAACTGAATTCTTTATTATATTTAAAGTTCTTAAAGGTCCTTATCATATGGACTTTAGGGAGTATTTTCTTGAAGGCAAATTAGATCTTGAATGCCTATCATCTAGGGCATCTCTTACGGATCTTCATTGAAATTTGGATAATTTGTATTCGAGAGGACAATAATTAAATCTTAAAAGATTCAATTAACGTCGATAAGGTTCCAATATTTTTTTTTTAAAAAATGAGTTAAAAATATTTTTTCAAACAATTACAAATGAACACAAGTGATATAGAATGATTGACCTTCTACTTTGGTTTGGTTTACGATCGATGCAGAAACAATTCTTGGCATTAGTCCATTAACTACGCTTCCACTAATAACATAAAATGTCCTTAATAACAAATGTTAATAGTCATTTTTGTACTAGTATTAAATTGTAATTGTTTTTTTTTTTGCCAAAGCGTTAAATTATAATTGAGATTCTTGTTTATAATTAGTTGAATTGCAACTCAATTTTTTTTTCTGTTGGCATCTAACTATCAATAATTTAATCTTTTGAAATGCATTTTTTATTCTACCTTTATATTTTTATCATCCTTTTATTTAAAATAAAAATATTATTTAAACGATCCACAACTTCATGAAAGTTGAACAATACAATGAGAGATAGACATTCTAGATCTATTAAATTACTTTTTATAACAAAGAAGTAATATTTTAATTTATAACAGACAAGGTATGATATAATAAAATTTAAACCATTCATGTCTCAACCGAATGATTCAGGTGAAACATCGACTAGTACAAAATTAATTTGGGTCTAAAACAAGTATACGTTTTGTAATTAATGTGCAAAGCATATTATGTCAGTTTTTGACTCTTTGCACTCCTCTAGTCTTGTCATTATTATGAGAACTGGATCAGACTCGCTGGTTCGATTGGTCAAATTGAGAACCAGTCATAAGTCCGGTTTGATTATAGGAGAAAACTGGCCGATATGAGAATCGGTCCAAAATTGTCAAAACTAGTCTTAATCTGGCTAAAACTGGTAGAACCAATAGAAAAAACTGGTTGGATTGATTCTCCTAATTTTTTTTATTTTTAAAAGTGTAATTTATATTTATAAATTATAATTTATACATATTTATATTTAATAAGCATTGATAAATGAAGAAAAAATGAATAAATTTGCAATAAATATGTGTAGAATATGCATATATTTTAAAATTATAAATTATGAAATAAGTATATATATTTCGGATTTAAATGATAAAATATTAATACTCATTATATATAATTATTTTTATTTTAAGTATCTATTATTTAAAATATATTAATTTATTTATGATCAGTTGAATTATAGTTCAAATCACTGTCTGATCATTGACCCATGAACCGGTATTTTGACTGGTTCAATAACCAATTCAGTTTTCTTAATACTGAGTCTTATTTATAGGGTGGTAGAGAATGAAAATTAATTTTGACTCTATTTATAAGGTATTTTATTATTTTTTTTATATGTTTATCTTTATTGTTCTGCCCATATTAAATGTTAAAAAAATTATTAAAAATAATTATTTTTGTACTTATTAATGATAGAGGTGGAAACTTATTTAATTTTTAAATAAAATTAATGAAATTTAATTTTTTTTCAATTTTAATAAAATGGGTTAAAAACGATTTATAAATAACATCACAGAGAGTAATTACTGTAAAACACGTTATGTCATTTGGGAAAAAACCTCAAGTAAATGCTTCGCAGACTTCGTCCGTCCAAGAAGATTTCATTGTTTGTTGTCAGTTTGTCAGCTTGTGTAGAGTTCCAGCTTCTACTTTCATCAAACTCTGTAGAAGAAAACAGAAATTTCTCGAAGAAGCTTTTGGATTATTAGAACTATATAATTGCTACATAAATATGTTCATGCACCTATGCAAGACTTTGTCTTTTTTAATATAATTATATAAGATTTTTTCTATTTAAGTATTATCAGGTTCAATTAGAAATAATATTCTCAAAAATATTTCTTGCATTCATTTAAACTTA